ACTCATCCATTTCTTCACGAATCCTTCTCATCTTCGAACTCGACCGAGACATTGTTAAGACTGAACTGTGTAGAAAATTTCATCGCGATTGGACTCTCCTTTCAAAAGTTATCGTGTAAACGGCCGACCGGCCGGACGGACATACTGACCGATTCTGGAGTGTACTCACCTTTTGAGTACACAAAAAGTGAAGAAACGATTCCTTAACCCAACAAATTTTGTTCAGAATTTTCAAAATCTGATTTCAGATTCGGATTCACCGACCCCGATTTGCTTTCGCCACCTTTATAAAATATCGCTATTTTCTCAAAAAACCCTTTCGTTGGCCCAAAAGTTTGAGCTGAAATTTTTAATGCTTTATATACCATTTTGTAGCTCGTGAAATTCTCTATCGAATGGTATATAATAGTTGGGGTTTTATTTTGACTATGATAGGAAAAGTTTTTTATGAAAGCGGGTATAGGTCGATTTTCGCACAAGAGACCATAGGGAAAAATCAGTATTTTTGCAATAACTCAGGAAAAGCTCCTCCAATCAGGCTCATCTTCGAACTCGACCGAGACATTGATGAGACTAAACTGTGTAGAAAATTTCATCATGATCTGACTCTCCTTTCGAAAGTTATCGTGTATACGGCCGGACGGCCATACTGACCGATTCTAGAGTGTACTCACTTTTTGAGTACACAAAAGAAGATTTTAAGATATTTATTTTTGAAAATATTCACATATTTCTTGTAAGAAAGAATTGAAGAGGTGATTCTGCCATCGAATAATATTTCGAAATATTTTATTTAAATAATCGTTTGCCTCATTTAATGATAGGCGTTGTAACTTAATAAATAGTTCTTCATTGAGTAATAAAATCGTGTCTTTTGATAGTGAATCTTCGGTTGTGAATTTTTGTACAAGTCAATCATGTTAACAGTCTTATTAAGTGTCCTTGTTTTTTCAATAGATTACATTAACAATAAAGAAAAACTATTGAATGAAGATCGATCCAGCTCTTTTAAAAGCTATCAAAAAATTAATTAATATTTAATAATTAATATTATTATTAGAGTGAAAACTGACTTCAGACTGAAATTTCTCATCGAAAATAACGTCTACTCAATTTTTTTTACAGAAGATAGTAAAAAGTCATTAATATTATACGTATTTAATGATTAATAATTAATATTAATATCAGTGCAAACATTGACATCAGATTCGGATTCGCTGTCGAAAATAAGCTTTGAGCAAGGTTTTCAATGGCTAGTAAGGACCATTGCGTACGAATCTCGGCCAAGATATTTTTCATTGGCTGAGATAAACGGAAGGAAGAACAAGCGCACTTATTCATATTTACCACCGTATAACCCTTTTTTCAGAGAAGCGAATAGCAGACTACCATTAAAGCGCTCAAAATATAGCCCATCGAGTCCAAAATTTTTGTATCCAGTCCAATTGAACATTGATATTCTCAATGAAATTTTCTAAACCTCTAGTCGCAGTAATAGACTCCGTGTCTTCGGCGATGTCCACGCATTCAAAGTTTCCAGAGTGATCATCTATTCTGACTCATTTATTTTCGTAGCTTTTAGTTTTAGTTGAAAAAGCTTCTCAGAAAACGAAAACGATTCTGAGGACTTGAGAAGATATTTTTAACGTTGCAAAAATCTAAGATGTACAGTACCCGACAAAAGTATTTACCCCCTTGGATCTAAATATCTATGAGAGCTGAACGTCTGAAAATTTGTCTACAGGTAGTCCACAGAAAATGTAGATCAGCGATACCATCAGCGTCAAAATCGCTCAAGGTAAAACAGAGCTATAATAAGTTTCATCTGTAATCACTGTAAGGTGCATAACTCTCGAACAGAAAGGTCTTTTCTGTTCGCCCATGTGTCATTTTGTAGCTCCATACTTTATCTATTTTCGATATAAATTTCATTAAATTCCATCGAGCTCTTGATGAACTGGACCATTTCTACTGAAAACATAGATTTGCCAAAAAACCATAGAGTGGTCATTGAGTGATCAATAACTCAGCGAGAATTTGATGGATCCATCTGAAATTTTCAGGAGACATTTCCCTATAGTTGTTCATTATTTTCTGAAAGTTTCAAAATCAAACATTTTACTGAACAGAAATGGTGCTCTGATCATCATCATGAACTTGTCAAGGCTCTAGAATCTCCATTATTCAAGCAAATGAGCTCATCTTTTTATCAATGAAGGATTATGTGTTGGGCTACAGTTCTATGCTAAAAGATTGATAATTAAGAGAGAGTCCTTGAGACTATTGAGAAATCGAAGCACTCATGAAAATTTAATACTTTGACTTGATCTTCTCATCTTGTTCAGCATCATCTAAAATCTCTAAATCCAAATTTTTAGAGCATTTGGTTGAGCTGGTGAAAAGCTAGCCGGATTCGACTTTTGAGCACTGATGAGACAATTTGAAGAATATAATCAAAAATCATGAATATAAAGTTGAGTTATTTTAAACGACAGTAAATTAACAAAATTTTTAGTGTAATATACCAAAAGATAGAGCGTGAAAAGCTGAACAAAATAAGGTATATACATATTATTTTTCAATGGGTCAAACTCATTTTATTGGTTAAATACTGTTTATGACTGCTTATTTTTCGAGTAAAAAGTATGTCATTTTTTTTTCATTGCTTCAGCTGTCATCCAGTCATTGTATGATATCCGAGATTGAATTTGAGATATGTTGTACCAACTTTTTCTCCTTTACAAAATGGATAAGAAAACGTTTAAGAAAAAAGCGTCAAATGGTGTCGAAAAATAGCTTACAATGTTGACCAGCCAGACAGCACATATAGAAAAAAATTATTATGAATATTTTTTTTTGATGAAAAATAGAACTTTTAGTAGATTGTAAACTATCTATAGTACTTTTCACATGCATACAATATATCAACTTTTTAATCGTGCAGCATAATAATATGTTTTTTCATTTATTATGAAAACAAACTAAAAACATAGAAATCAATTTTATATTGTATACATGAGTTCTTTGTGAATTTTCGAACCTTGACAAGTTCATCATCAGACATAACATATTCCATATATTTTCATAGGTCACTGTTATGATATGACATGTATCTATATCTAACTGTTCATTTTTCTATTCTTTTTCTTTGTTTTCTTTCTTCTTTGATGTTATATATATCCATGCGATATTATGTATCGGTGGTGATTCCTTAGTTTAAGAAATAAACAAACCTTTATGTTCTACATATTCGAACCCATGATTTGCCCTTAAAACAAGTATAATAAAAGTGGAACATAACAGTGGTGACAGCGGTTATTTAAGTACAAATCAACGTTGGTTATTATTTATTTTACTTATTTTGGACTTTTGGGAACATCCTTACTAGAGGATTGTATCGGTTATTTGTATTATATTTCATAATTATTATGTGAAAAAATAGTCGGTGAAATTTGGATTTAAACACAACGTCTATTTCTGAATTACAATTCAAATCTTCTCAACAGCAAGTTAAAAGTGAACTACCTTCTCAACCTGATTCTATTACAACTATGTCTACCGTACATTCTATTGGTGAATCTGATGATGATAGTAACAAACAAGTTACTGATTCTATGAATTGGAAAGTAGTACGTGAAAATGAACAACAACGATTAAAATCAATAAATATATTAACAAAAGATGAAATGATAAGTATTGATCAATGGTTATCGATTTTACATAATATATATGAAGAATTACATTATCCAACTTTATTTCGTGTACAACATACTACCACTTATTTCCAAGAAGAAGAAAAGTATGGTATGATCAAGAAAAAACTGAAATAAATGGTGATTGGTTCAATTTTTGTGAAAAATTAAAACAATATGTTAATAATCGAATGAAATCTTGTATTGATAAATCTCAGAAAGATCGATTATCATCATCTCTCAATGGAATGACACAACTTGAACAGATTATTCATAATAATTTCATAAAATATTCAGGCAATGGTGATGCCAAAAATTGTTTATTACAAACCATGAACCAATTTAAACAATGTCAACTGTCTCGACTCGATCAAATTCAAGCTATTCCATATTTATTGGAAGACTCGACATATTTATGGTATATTGAAAATGAACAATCAATTATTAGCTTTGAATCATTTTGCAAGTTATTTCTTCAACAATTTGCGTATAACACATCTTCATCATCAGATAATACTTCATCTCTTACCTCTCAACTTTCTGTTACGATGGTTCGGGAAATTATAAGAACCCCTACTTATTATCGTGGATCAAACGATGATGTTCAAGATTGGTTGGGAAAATTGGAACAACGGTTTAAAATGGCAAACTGGGATGATGAACATAAATTACGATATATTTCTCTACATTTACAAGATGATGCGTATAAATGGTGGATTCAAGCATCAGAAAAAATTACGTCGTGGTCGAGTTTTGTTAATGGTATTAAGCAAGCATTTGGATCAATAAAAATGAAAGAATTGGCATTTGAACAATTAAGGTGGTATATACAGGGGGTCCCAAAATTATAGAACCCCCCCTTTATTTTTGAAAATCTTCAGCAAAGATGAATAGCTAGATCAAATCGAAATAGTGATTTAGATAGCCCTTGAAATTCTCTATCGAACATGGTATAGA